GCGATGAGGCAGCAAGCGACCTGTGTGAGCGGTTCCGTAGCAGTGAGCCCGGAAGTGGGCCCATTGGGTCTTAACACGAGGGTTTAAAATTGTTTGTTCGTACTGAACTCAGTATATTCACGGTGTAAGTGCCAGCCAGACTATGTCACAACGTGAGCCGTTGCTCACTGTTGTCAAGGCCAAGCATCCTCTCTCCCCCAGTCTGGGCCAGTGAAGCGTATACTTTGCTGTGACTGTTCAGACGTCTCCCCATCACATGTGGCAGAATGAGTGTTCAGATCAGCACTGAAGTGTTAACACACCTTAAGAATTCATGCCCAGGTGGTGAGGCTCAGTGGTTGAGTGTCATCCTGGTCAGGGCACGTGCCCAGGTTGTGGGCCCAATCCCCAGTCAGGGGCATGCAGGAGGCAGCCAGTCGATGTTCTCTTTCATCAGTGTTTCTGTCTGTCTCCTTCTCTCTTAAAAAAAAAAAAGAGAATTCGTGTCTATCGGTGATATTTCCCAGCGCGGTCACTGAGGTGACGGGCTCGCGTTGGCACCCAGAGGGGTGTGCGTGTGACCTGCAGACACTGAGCAGGTGGCTCTCTGAGGACCTGGACCTGCCCGTCTGGACTGAGAGCCCCGGCTGCAGGCAGACCTGTCCCCCAGGCTCACAGGCTCGGGCCTGTCCCCTCCGGCTTGTTGCCTCCTGAGACAGAGGGCTGTTTCCTTCCCTTGCCTTTTCCCAGGTGAAATTAAATTTGTTTCCCACACTTTAGGTTTCGGAGTGATTCTGGGTTGGAGGGACAGTTGTGCAAGAGCTGCCTGCCCCAGCCGGCTCCCTGTTGTCCGCGTCCCGTCGCTGGTGCGGCGTTCACGTCGGAGCCCTGGCTCTGCTGCCGACTCCAGGTCGGCCCAGGGGTCCCGTTTCCATGTGGCCGTCCTACTGCCCTGCATTCCTCCGGGCCTCTGGCCATCGTGGCTGCTTAGTCATCTGCACTCCAGAACCGTGTCCTCAGACTGGCCTTGTGGTCTCGGACCTGACAGTGACCACTGGTCAGGGTGGGTAGACCGTCCCTCACTTGGGGTGTGGTGTCCTCCTCACCGGGCCTGTCACTGCTGCTGGTGGCCGTGACCACCTGGCCGAGGAGGTGTCGGCCAGATCGCTCCACTTTTCTCCCGACCCTCGCTCCCTTTGCACCGTCAGTTTATGTCGAAACCCTCATTTCATGCTTACAATTCTGTAGTTTAGTCTTCGTTGAAAAATAACACTAGATACTTAGACTTTCTGATATAATCGTATTTTTTCTCTTGAAACGCGGCTGTGTTCTCTTCAATGAAAACCTAGAAGCCTTCAGTGAGAAGGGACAAGCACCTGCAAGTCCCTGTCTAGTGAGGGGCAGACAGGGAGTGGGGACCGTGCAGGACGCGGAAGGCCTTGCCTGAACCCACATCTGTGAACGCCTCGTCCCCTGTCCCCTGCCCCCTGTACCCCACCCCGTTTCCAGTCCCGCTGTCCCCCATCCCCCTGTCCCTAGCCCCTGTCCCCCATTCCCTGTCCCCATCCCCTGTTCCCTGTCCCCTGACCCCCACCCCGTCCCCTCTTCCCAGTCCCCATGTCCCCCTGTCCCCCGTGTCCCCCGTCCCCCATCTCCCCACCCCCTGCCCCCCTGTTCCCCCCCATCTCCCTGCCCCCTGTCCCCCTGCCCCCCATCTCCCCGCCTCCGTCCCCCATCTCCCCGCCCCCTGTCCCCCCCGTCTCCCCACCCCCCCCATCCCCTTGTCCCTCTCACCACTCACTGTGCTCACACGTCTCACTGTCCCGCCGCCGCCCTGTCCCTGCTGGGTCCTTGGCTGCAGAGGTGGCCTGTGGCGGCGGCGCTTCCTCCGGGAAGGGAAAGGAGGCCTGTGCATCAGTCCCTTCGCGGGGCTGGGTGTGCTCCTGCGCCCACGGTGAACAGACCAGGCCAGCGAGGGCGCCTGCCAGCGGAGCCTGTCCGTGGTCTCTGGGTGGCTGACAGAGGGCATCCGGTCCAGACTCGGCTGGGACGGTCTGGGTGTGAGCGCTCTGGGAGGTGGGGGGGGGGCGGCAACCCAGCCTCTTCACTGCACTTTTCTGCTCCCTTAGGGCTGGGGGTGGGCGGCCTTGAGCTGTGACACCCCGGGCATTCTAGTCCTCCTGGAGGGTGTGGCACACACTGTCACCCGAAAGGGGGCCCTCTTGTCAGGACCAGCCCTGGGGACCTGCTGGGCCCTGTGCCACATAAATACCTGGGGAAGCACGGGTGCTGGGCCCCCTGGGAGGGCCGACTCCTCCTGGCAACCCTGGTCCCCAGGCACCCGCTGATGCTGTCGGGCTTCTGAGCGCCGGAGGTGGGCCGCCCGGGCGGGGACTCTAGGGCAGGGAAGGTGTGAGGTGTTCTTGCCGGCGACACCTCTGGCCCCTTGTCCCTGTTCGACAGGGTCTGTGTGCAGGGTGACCTGCAGAGTGTACTTCTGCTCTCTAGGGGACCGTGACCGGAGCACCAGGCCCTGGTCGGGTGCACAGTGTCTGGGGACAGCCCCGGGGCTGGGGCCTTTTCTCCACACCAGCTCCTCTGCCGGCTCTGGAGCCAGCAAGCCCTTCGAGAACGCATCCCTGGGCAGTGCAGAGCCCAGCAGGCATCTGGCCTGAGGTTGCCAGAGCTCACACTGACTCTCGGGCTTTCTTTTGGGCATTTCAACTAGGAGTCCCTTTGTGATGTCCCCTCGGGCTGAGGGGAACCAGGGTGCCACAGGTCGATGGCCCCCTTCTCGCAGGGACCAGGTAGTGCGTGGGCCTTGTGGCTCCCGTTGGTCCCCCGGCAGCCAGGCCTCCTGTCTCATGGTCTCCCAGCTCCTCCCCTCCACGGGCATTTATTGGCTCCTTTATCTGGGCACTTCTCAATCCATGATTCCTCCAGGCCCTACACAGCCTGCCCAGGCAGGAGCAGAATCGTCGCTGTCTGAGTCCCCAGCCCTCCCCCCGGCCAGTCGCCTTGCTGTGCAGCCCTGTGTTCTGGCTCAGGGACACAGCCGTCCTCCCTGCTCCTCTCTGCCCTGGATCCTCCAGGGTGCTGCCTCACGTCTGCACTGGCTCTCACGTGTCTCCTCCACTGTTTCTGGAGCACTGTTCTCTGGGAGCCTTTCACGTCTCCCTCAGGGTACATGGTCCCCCTGGCACATCCCCTGGGACGTGTCTTGCAGCCCGGGAACCAGGCCCTTCCGGCTCCTTCCTCCTCTGCATCAGGATTCCGGTGGACAGAGGCTGCGGCGAGAGGCCCAGGGCGAGGTCTCGGCGCTTTCTTGTGACCCACCCTCCCCTTTGTGCCGTGCGGGCGTCTCTAATCTGATGTTAGGTGACCGTTTGGACGTGTCAGTGCCGCAGGTTCTCCCCGTCACCTCGGCTCGGGGCTCGGGTCCCCACTCAGCGGCCATGTGGGCCAGTGCCTTGTAATCAGCAGACCTCGCTTGGAGTGGCCCAGTGAAACCGGGTCACGGGCACGTAGACAGAGCTTGTGACACCCAGAGCAACCCGTGACGCCGTCCACTGAGCCCACCTGGGCCTGCATCTCTTTCTGGGGCAGCATGACCTTCGCAGCTGGTGCCCTCCCGTGCCCGCTGAGGGACAGGCTCCTTCGCAGCTGGTGCCCTCCCGTGCCCGCTGAGGGACAGGCTCCTTCGCAGCTGGTGCCCTCCCGTGCCCGCGGAGGGACAGGCTCCTTCGCAGCTGGTGCCCTCCCGTGCCCGCGGAGGGACAGGCTCCTTCACAGCTGGTGCCCTCCTGTGCCCGCTGAGGGACAGGCTCCTTCACAGCTGGTGCCCTCCCGTGCCCGCGGAGGGACAGGCTCCTTCACAGCTGGTGCCCTCCCGTGCCCGCTGAGGGACAGGCTCCTTCACAGCTGGTGCCCTCCCGTGCCCACGGAGGGACAGGCTCCTTCGCAGCTGGTGCCCTCCCGTGCCCGCGGAGGGACAGGCTCCTTCGCAGCTGGTGCCCTCCCGTGCCCGCTGAGGGACAGGCCCCTTCGCAGCTGGTGCCCTCCCGTGCCCGCTGAGGGACAGGCTCCTTCGCAGCTGGTGCCCTCCCGTGCCCACGGAGGGACAGGCCCCTTCGCAGCTGGTGTCCTCCCGTGCCCGCTGAGGGACAGGCTCCTTCGCAGCTGGTGCCCTCCCGTGCCCGCTGAGGGACAGGCTCCTTCGCAGCTGGTGCCCTCCCGTGCCCGCGGAGGGTCAGGCCCCTTCACAGCTGGTGTCTTCCCGTGCCCGCGGAGGGACAGGCTCCTTCGCAGCTGGTACCCTCCCGTGCCCGCTGAGGGACAGGCTCCTTCGCAGCTGGTGCCCTCCCGTGCCCGCGGAGGGTCGGCCCCTTCACAGCTGGTGTCTTCCCGTGCCCGCGGAGGGACAGGCTCCTTCGCAGCTGGTACCCTCCCGTGCCCGCTGAGGGACAGGCTCCTTCGCAGCTGGTGCCCTCCCGTGCCCGCTGAGGGACAGGCTCCTTCACAGCTGGTGCCCTCCTGTGCCCGTGGAGGGACAGGCTCCTTCACAGCTGGTGCCCTCCCGTGCCCGCGGAGGGACAGGCTCCTTCACAGCTGGTGCCCTCCCGTGCCCGCGGAGGGACAGGCTCCTTCACAGCTGGTGCCCTCCCGTGCCCGCGGAGGGACAGGCCCCTTCACCAGCGGCTGGTGGCCTCCCGTGCCCGCCGAGGGACAGGCCCCTTCACAGCTGGTGCCCTCCCGTGCCCGTGGAGGGACAGGCCCCTTCACAGCTGGTGCCCTCCCGTGCCCGCTGAGGGACAGGCTCCTTCACCAGCGGCTGGTGGCCTGGTGGTCACGGGCGAGGTGGTGTTTGGGGTCCCCAAGCTGGATGCCTGACCCCAGTGACCGTTTATTGTACAGATGAGGAAACTGAGGTCCAGTGCAGCCTGGGCACCTGGGTCCTGAAAGTAACGGGAACCGGGGCCGCCCTGCGTGGCCCGGCCTTGCTAGCGCGTCTCCTCCCACAGGTGTACATCGGCGAGCTCCCACACGACTTCCTGCGCATCGCGCCCACGCAGCAGCAGCAGCAGGTGCAGCTGGACGCGCAGGCCGCCCAGCAGCTGCAGTACGGAGGGGCGCTGGGCACGGTGGACCGCCTCAACATCACCGTGGTGCAGGTCGGGCTGCGCGGGCAGGGAAGGCGGTGGGGGCCTAGGGCTGTGTCGGCAGATGGAGCTTTTCCTGGTGCCCGTTGTCCTCAGTTACACCTGACGAAAAGAACGTCTGTGAGGAATATTGATGGACACCCAGGGTTTTGCCCCAGATGCTTACACTTAGTGATGAGCGTTTACTGCCCCTGCTCAGGGCAGCAGGCGGGTGGGGACACGTAGCTGTCCCGATGAGGCCGGGCAGAGGGCAGGGAGTCTGCCTGCCAGGGGCCCCGCTGACGGCCGGCTGTGCCAGCGAGGCCCAGGACAGTCGGGAGGTGGAGCTGTCTGTGAAGCGTGAAGAAGGGTCTCTGTGAGCTGCCGGCTTGTGGGCGTGGTCAGACGCAGCGGACACGAGTCTGCGGACCTGGGTGAAGGCGTCCAGTGCCGGCAGCACAGACACTCAGCTCTTCAGTGTGTGCTGACGGGGTCGCAGCCACAGGGCCCTCACACCTGAGGCACCTGCTTTAAAGTAGGTGGACCCTCCTCTCCGCGCCCTCCTGTGACCCAGGCTGGTGCCCTCTGCATTCTGGCCCGGAAGACGCTGGGAATAGCGCGGTGAAGGGGCGGAGAGCCTGTGGCCTGCGCTCTCAGTGGTGTGGTTTCTCATTTCTCTGACACTGGCTTTATTTCAGGCCAAGTTGGCAAAGAATTATGGCATGACCCGCATGGACCCATACTGCCGGCTGCGCCTGGGCTACGCGGTGTACGAGACGCCCACGGCCCACAACGGCGCCAAGAACCCGCGCTGGAATAAAGTCATTCACTGCACGGTGCCCCCGGGCGTGGACTCCTTCTACCTGGAGATCTTTGACGAGGTGAGGGCGGCTCCTGTCCCTGAGCCACACCGGCTGCCAGCGTGGCCGAACCGGGCAGGGAGACCCCGAGTTGTGGCTCCTGAGGCCGCTCCAGGGACCTGGTGTCCCCGGGCAGGGAAAGTGTGCTGTGGGCTCTCAGCTGCATGCGGAGCTCGTCCCGGAGGCCGCACGAGTTAGCGGGCGCCCTGCTGTGAGGGGTGTGGGTGGGCAGTGGCCGGTGTCTCCAGGGTTCTTGGTGGTGTGAGTTGCAGGCAGTCTGCCCGAGTGTCCCTGGGGAGTGGTGGAGGGGTGCAGGGGGGCAGAGGGGTGAGGGGGTGGGATACAGAGGGGGAGGGGCAGAGGGGGGAGGGGAGGGGTGTGGGGGCGCAGGGGGAGGGGCGCAGGGGGCCCTTCCTCAGCCTGGCCTTCTGGCCGCCTGTCTGGAAGCTCCTGCCCTGGGGCGCCCGGCAGGGAGCTCGGAGGGAAAGCGTGGGAGGCAGGGTGGGGAGCTGGCCCCTTCCCTGTGCCCCTGCCTTGACCTTCTTCTCCTCTGCTTCCTCGGGAGGGTCACTGCCGAGAGCTCCTCCTTTCCTGCGCTTGTGCCTCGGGCTCTGGGGCCTGTGGGGGACTCCCCGCCTGGTGGGGGGTGGCCTGAGTCTCCAGGCAGCTGGAGTCTGTTGATGCACTGCCTGGGGCTGAAGGTGCCCCGCGTGCAGAGGTGGCCAGTCCCAGGGTGGGGCTCTTTGATGGGGACAGGCTTCAGGAGGTGGTCTGAGGGGCAGGGGTGGGGAGCACTTGAGGGGCAAGGAGTCTCACTGCCTCTCCCTGTGGGGCCCGCAGCGAGCCTTCTCCATGGACGACCGCATCGCCTGGACACACGTCACGCTTTCCGAGGCCCTGAAGCAGGGCGAGGTGGAGGACAAGTGGCACTGCCTGAGCGGGCGGCAGGGTGACGACAAGGAGGGCGTCATCAACCTGGTCATGTCCTTCTCGGTGAGCGTCCCCAGGCAGGCGGCCCAGCTCCGCACGAGCCCCAGGTGGCCAGTGGCACCTTCTACACTAGCTCAGCGGAGCCTCGGGCGTGGTCACGAGAGCCCCTGCCCTTCCTGTTCTGCTGGGAGTGCAGGAGAGTGCTGCGTGGGGCCACGCCACGGGGCCACGCCCCACCTTTCGGGGTGTGGCTTCCCTTATGGCCTTGAAGGGCTTCCTGTGCAGTAGTGAGGTGTCTCGGGGCTGCACGGGGATTGAGGGGGGATGGCGCTGGCCCTCTGGACTGGGCAGCAGAACTGGCTGCTGGGCCAGCGTCTCGGGGCCTGGCTGCTCCTCAGCACCCAGCCGCTCTGGGGATCCTTGGGGACAGCAGAGGCAGTTGATGGTCAGGCAGGGTTCTGGTCCGGGAGCCTGGGTTCCCACCGCCTCCTGTGTCACTGAGGAAGCTTGTGGTCTCCGTCACTTTTTCTATGGAAACGTCCCAGCGGGCGGGCCAGGAGAGAGCAGGTGTGGGCCCCGTGGGGCTGCAGTCCTGTGGGCCCCGCCCCTGCTCACTGCCCGCCTGTTGTAGAGCCAGTCCCGGCCGCGGCGTGGCTCTCTCGTGAGTTTTCCTTAGACCTTTAGTGCAGACACAGCCGCTGTCACACCAGGTGAGCAAATTAAGCGTCAGGCTCAGGACGGCTGCATCCTGGCCGGCAGTTCACACGTGCTCGCTCTGGGCCACGCTCTCCTTCCGTGACATCTTGGGTGGCCTGGTCCAGTGGGTCTGGCGACGTTTTCGGCCCGGTCATTCACCTGAGCCGCAGCAGAAGAGCACGTTAGGGTGCTGGTGAGGGCTGGTGCCGGGGGCACTCCGCACGTGAGACTCGCTCCGGGCCCTGTGCTGTGACTGCAGGGCTCGCTGAGGCCGACGTGGAGGGGCCACGTGTGCTGTGCTCTGTGACCCTGATCGTCACGTGTGTTTCAGTCACTGCCGGCGACCATGGTGATGCCACCTCAGCCTGTGGTCCTGATGCCCACCGTGTACCAGCAGGGCGTTGGCTACGTGCCCATCACAGGTGAGTGCCACTCCCCCCGGGGTGGTTCCTGGGGTGGTGGTGGAACTCTGAGGGGTGTGGGGATGGGTCTCCAGGTGCCTGAGCACCTGCCAGAAGCGAGGGTCAGGCTGCGTGTGTGTTTCTGCGTGTGGGTTTCTGCGTGTGTGTAGGAGACAGAATGTGCTTCCCCTGACCACTGGCACAAGTAGGATGAGTTGAAGTTTACGGAATGTGGAAATGTGATTCTTAACATCTTGGTACGTGAGTTACCATAACGAAGCACCATGGTCCTGTTGGTGGAGTGAACCGTTTGCTGTAACGAGACTGTTTGGTCACGTGGAGTGACCTCTGTGAGCTGCTCTCCGTTACGAGCAAGCAGCTCCGGCCGCACAGCAGCGTCAGGCCGCGTGGAGCCTTCGTGTCTGCGCTCAGGCCTGAATTCGGCTGCTGGTCCCCTCGCACTTCTGCTGTGACGGCCTGTGCCCAGCCAGCCTTCTGCCATGAACAGCCGTAAACGGCAGGCCAGCCGAGGCAGCAGCTGTTGGCAGGCAGTGCGAGACCGCGACCCCGAGAGGAGGGAAATGGTGAACCCCGTGTCTGCCGTGCGGCGGGGAGCTGGGCTCCAAGCAGAGCGTGGTCGCCCGCTGCACACAGGAGGCAAAGGCCGGAGTCCAGCCAGCGGAAGTGGTCAGATCTGCGGGGGAGGGCACTGCAGAGGAGGCAGATGTGCCGGGCGAGGGCCCAGGCGGCTCGTGCTTGGGGTGCTGCCTCAGGGTTGGGGCAGCATGGGCGTCGGTCTGATAGGACCACCCTCATCCTAACCCTAAGCCAGCCCTGCGAGGGAAGGATGGGAAATGGAGCCAGGAAGCTGTACCCCGAGTCAGAGGTTCCCACATGGGTCAGGGCATTCTGCCTGGGGTGACGCTGCCCTGAGACAGGGACCAGCACTTTCTGCCAAGGAGCTGGACAGTGTGGCCTGCGGCCAGGACAGACCCAGCCCACAGGAAGGGACCACGGTGGCCAGAGACTAGGCAGTAGCTGCCGTGCTCCAGCGGGCGAGGAGGAGGCCTTAGGGGGAGAGGCGCCTCGCTGGGGTTGTGGGGCCTCCAGAGCACTCAGCAAGGCCAGTGGGCTGGCGGCGTGGGGGTGGGGTAGGGGGACACCGGCCTGGGGGAGCCGGTCTGAGGCGCTGTCCCCCCGGGGTTCTGGTTGTGGTTGGATTAGCCGAGGACCTGCATGTAGGTGTCAGTGTGCCCGCCCCAGAGCACGAGACAGCATCTGCGTGAGATTTGCCCTTGAGGGTCCTGAGCTGGAGGTCTGAGGAGCACCAGGTGGCCTACAGGGGGCAGTGGAGGTCTTGTGTTCAGCAGCAGCTGTAACAGCCCACAGACCGGGGCTCAGATCAGCAGGTGTTTCTGCTGACCATTCTGGAGGCCAGAGTCCAAAGTCAGGGGTCACAGGGCTATGGGGGGAGGGCCCTTCCTGCCTTGTCCAGCTCTGGGGATCCAGGCGTGGCTGGGTTGGTGACGGTGCTCCTTGTGTCTGCTCCATCTCCTGAGGTCCCTCCGTGTGTGTCTGTGTCTGCGGATTTGCAAGGACAGCAGTTGCTGGTGCGAGCCCACTCCGCCCAGTGTGTTCACCTCCCTGATCACTGCTGGTGCGAGCCCACTCCGCCCAGTGTGTTCACCTCCCTGATCACTGCTGGTGCGAGCCCACTCCGCCCAGTGCGTTCACCTCCCTGATCACTGCTGGTGCGAGCCCACTCCGCCCCGTGTGTTCACCTCCCTGATCACTGCTGGTGCGAGCCCACTCCGCCCAGTGCGTTCACCTTCCCGATCACTGCTGGGTGCGAGCCCACTCCGCCCAGTGTGTTCACCTCCCTGATCACTGCTGGGTGCGAGCCCACTCCGCCCAGTGTGTTCACCTCCCTGATCACTGCTGGTGCGAGCCCACTCCGCCCAGTGTGTTCACCTCCCTGATCACTGCTGGTGCGAGCCCACTCCACCCAGTGTGTTCACCTTCCCGATCACTGCTGGGTGCGAGCCCACTCCACCCAGTGTGTTCACCTCCCTGATCACTGCTGGTGCGAGCCCACTCCGCCCAGTGTGTTCACTTCCCTGATCACTGCTGGTGCGAGCCCACTCCGCCCAGTGTGTTCACCTCCCTGATCACTGCTGGTGCGAGCCCACTCCACCCAGTGTGTTCACCTCCCTGATCACTGCTGGTGCGAGCCCACTCCACCCAGTGTGTTCACCTCCCTGATCACTGCTGGTGCGAGCCCACTCCACCCAGTGTGTTCACCTTCCCGATCACTGCTGGGTGCGAGCCCACTCCACCCAGTGTGTTCACCTTCCCGATCACTGCTGGGTGCGAGCCCACTCCGCCCAGTGCGTTCACCTCCCTGATCACTGCTGGTGCGAGCCCACTCCGCCCAGTGTGTTCACCTTCCCGATCACTGCTGGGTGCGAGCCCACTCCGCCCAGTGCGTTCACCTCCCTGATCACTGCTGGGTGCGAGCCCACTCCGCCCAGTGCGTTCACCCCCCTGATCACTGCTGGTGCGAGCCCACTCCGCCCAGTGTGTTCACCTCCCTGATCACTGCTGGTGCGAGCCCACTCCGCCCAGTGTGTTCACCTCCCTGATCACTGCTGGGTGCGAGCCCACTCCGCCCAGTGCGTTCACCTTCCCGATCACTGCTGGGTGTGAGCCCACTCCGCCCAGTGTGTTCACCTCCCTGATCACTGCTGGTGCGAGCCCACTCCACCCAGTGTGTTCACCTCCCTGATCACTGCTGGGTGCGAGCCCACTCCACCCAGTGCGTTCACCTCCCTGATCACTGCTGGTGCGAGCCCACTCCGCCCAGTGTGTTCACCTTCCCGATCACTGCTGGGTGCGAGCCCACTCCGCCCAGTGCGTTCACCTCCCTGATCACTGCTGGTGCGAGCCCACTCCGCCCAGTGCGTTCACCTCCCTGATCACTCTGCACAGGCTGCTCCCCACCACGCCTAGGAGCTCCCACGTCTGCGGGGATGGCTCGTCCTCACGGTCGCCCGCACCTGCATGTGTGTGGTTAACGTGAAGTCAGCTTTTCAAGAAAGAGATGAGATGTGCTGTGTGTCTCTGCGGTCCCGTCTCAGTTCTCTGTAGATGCCTGTGACGTTCGCCCTGAGGTGTCCCTTCTAGGAAAGGGCAGATTTCTCTGAGGGCAACTCTCCTTTGACGTCCTCGTCCATGTTGAAACAGCCCTGTCCCGACAGAGTCTGCAGAGGGGACGAGAGAGGTTCTGCCTGCACCTCTGAGACTGAGGTGCCCACTTGATGCCCTGGCCCCACCCCCACGTCCCATCTATTTCCTAGGCCCGCGTGGCATCACTGCGGGCCCCCGAGACCTCCCCTGACACCCCAGGCAGGGGCGGCAGCCTGGACCCCGCCTGAGGGAGACGTCCAGCCAGCGCCCATCACATCTCCCAGCTGGAGTCACCGCAGCAGGGACTTGGAGGCAGACGGCCTCGTCCAGCACTGCCGCATGCGGCCCAGCGAGGGTCGAGCCTCGGTTCCCAGACTCACTGGGAACTCCCTCCCTTTGCTGGTCCAGGCTCCTTGTCAGACTGGGTCTGGGATGGGGCCTGGCGATCCTGTAGGTTTCTCCTGTGCCATGTGCCCCTTTGGGGGGACTTGAGCCCTCCACCACCCCAGCCACGTCCTCAGGCTCCCTCTGCAAGTGCAGGGCGCGGCTCCTGCCTGGCTCCCCGCACGTGCGGGGCGGGAGGAGAGGTGTGCTGAGTGCCTGGACGCAGCCCTGCTGGTGCCCGTGCTCTGCGTGTGCCCGCGAGGGCCCCTCTCCGACGGGAGGGCCCGTGTCGCCCTGTCTGTGGCTGGGACTGCAGGAGTCACCCTGGCTGGAGTCTCCGCTGTGCCCGCTGTGGGTGTGGACTCGTCCTGTGGCCCTGTCAGGAGCTCAGGGCCCCGGCCTGGCCGTGCCCTGCCCTGTGCGGGCACACGCCCTGGCCGTCTGGGAGAGGCAGCCAGCTGTGCTCAGGAGGCCATGACCGTGCTCTGCAAGGTCACTTTGACCTGGGCTTTCGGAGGCTGTTCTTAGTCGGCAGAGGACGGTGTCTCAGTGTGGCGCCGTCATGCTGCAGGGCCTCCTAGTTTGGAGTTCTGCCCTTCCCTCCCCTCCCCCTCCTGGGGGTCCCTGTGGGAAGAGCAGGTCTGTGGCCTTGGTGAGGAGGCGGAGCCAGGGCACCCTGCCGGACGCCTGTCTGGGGTGGGGGTGGCCCTCAACCATGTGCGTGGGCTTAGGGCCCCAGGAGAGGTGCTTCAGTCCGGGGCACGTGCCTCAGTGATGGCACAGGCAGCCACCCAATCCTGAGTCCTCTGTCCAGGGAGGAAGGTGGGATCTGGGTGACCTGCTGTCCCCCCCAGGCTGAGGTCGGTTTTCCTTCTGCTCATGGTCCCACCTGGGTGAGCTGATCCCACCCGACTCACCTGTGGAGGGTGACGACCTCCCTGTCTGGACGACCCCCCTGTCTGGACGACCCGCGCTGAGGTGGTGACTCCGGTGTGAAGGCAGGTGCTTGGCAAGGCCTGGCCAGAGGGGTCGGCAGGGGTTTGCACCCTCTGTGCTGTGCCGCAGAAGGTGCCTGTCCCCTCGGGCCCAGGCGCTGGCCGCGTGTCGAAGTGTGCCCGCACAGCCTTGCCCGCAGCCGGCGCCCCCAGCTTCAGCACCCGAGGTCCTCGTTGCCGACTGTCAGACTGCTGTCGGCATCTTCTGAACCCAGAAAGGGGCAGGAAATCACCTCGGTCTGACGGCCTCCTGGGCCTGCTGGGCGGGTTTCTGGAGTCACAGGGTGAGGGTTTTACGCAGGCTGCTTTGCAGAGAGGGCCTGAGGCGCAGTGTGCGCTGTTAGCGCTCACCCAGCTCACTCCCCACCTGCTCGCAGACCCAGACACACCCCGCGGGAGCTGCACCCTGCTGGGAGGGGACTCAGAGCTTCGGCCCTCTCACCCAGGAGGGCGGGCTGTGAGGGGTGAGGGCAGGGCCTGCCCGCCCGCCCTGTACTCGGAGCCACCGTGAGTGTCTCTTCTGCTGCCGCGTGTGTGTGCTCGTCTGCAGGTGCCCGCAGCCCCTCCGGGGCGCAGTGTATGGTCTAGGCTGCCACGCGTGCCGGGTGGGAGGCTGTTCCAGCTTGCGAGGCCAGGGGAGGGCGGGTCTCCACAGTGGGTGAAGGAGCGGGGTGTTCTGTGCTCTCCCCCTCCAGTGGGGGGGCTCGTTCTGTGGCCTCGGCAGTGAGCTCCGACCCCTGTGGTCTCAGCCAGGAGGACGGTCGGACCGGGAGCGCCTTGCCCTCCCGCGTGAAAGGAGCTGTGTGAGGTGCGGAGGCCAGTGCGGGGGATCGCCCCTCCGTCCCTCCGGGGTTCAGGGCGTGTCGCAGGGGTGCCCGCTGGTCGGCCCAAGGAGGCCAGCAGGATGCCAGGGGGCATCCTCAGCCAGAGCCCGTCTCTGCTCTGCGGACACAGCCCTCCCCGAGCCCTCTTGTGCTTGCAGGAGTGCCCGCCGTGTGCAGCCCTGGCATGATGCCCATGGCCTTGCCCCCGGCAGCTGTGAGCGCCCCGCCCCGCTGTAACGAGGAGGACCTGAGGGCCATCCAGGACATGTTCCCCAACATGGACCGCGAGGTGATCCGCTCCGTGCTGGAAGCCCAGAGAGGGAACAAGGACGCCGCGGTCAACTCTCTGCTCCAGATGGGCGAGGAGTCCTAGACCACGCCCCTCGCTGCCAAGTCATCCTCGCCTCAGCCCTTGGACCGCCCACCCTGGGTTCCCGGGGCACTGTCCCAACAAGAGTCCTGTGCAAGAGCCTGCGCAACCCTCCCTCCCTCCCGCCGCCTCCCACAACTGCCGCACGGTCTGGGGCAGCTGCTCTGCAGTCCGCCGGGGCGGGGCCCTCCTCACTCTGGAGGGAGATGAGCAGATGCTCCCCTTCTCCCCCTGGGGACGCGCCTGATCAGGTGCCGCTGCTTGTCCTTCCCCTGTCCCCCTGTCCCCCTCCATCCCCCCCCGCTGTCCCCGTCCCCCTGTCCCCCTCTGTCCCCCTGCTGTCCTCGTTCCCTTCCGTCCCTGTCCCCCTGTCCCCCTCCGTCCCTGTCACCCTGTCCTCCTCCATCCCCCCCGCTGTCTCCGTCCCCCTGCTGTCCCCGTCCCCCTGTCCTCTGTCCCCCTGCTGTCCCCGTCCCCCTCCGTCCGTCCCCCTGTCTCCCTCCATCCCCCTGTCCCCCTCCATCCCCCTGCCCCCCTCTATCCCCCTGTCCCCCTCCGTCCCCCTCCATCCCCCGCTGTCCCCCTCCATCCCCCACTGTCCCCCTCCATCCCCAAGAGTGCTCTTGTGGAAGGAGCCTCCTCGGCCGGACCTGGGAAAGGCTGGGGCATCTGTCTGCTTTGCTTAATGGGCGCAGTGCTGTGACTTCATCGGGATAGACCTGTTCACTTAGGGCTCATGGTCCTTTACCACCTGCTCGGGTTGTTACAGAACTTGCAAACTGAAAACTCGTGGCCCTCCCTTGGTGTGCTTCGTGGCTGCTCACCAGTGTCCCAGGCCAGTGTGGCTTGGCCAGGCCTCAGCCACAGATTTCAGCCTGACTGCGGATAGCCAGCCTCTCCCCCTCCCCCAGCACTTGGCAGCGGAGAAGGGCTGCCCCTAGCTCAGAGGGTCCCTTTGTCGCCCCTGCTGCTTCACACAGCTCGGTGGGGTGTCATCACCAGGCCGCTTCTCTCCTCGGCTGGCTCTTGCACAGAACCTAACATTGGTGACAAGTAACCGATTTGCTTTGTTAAATGAGGGGTGTGGGACTCGGCTCACTGCTGACAGGAACTTCGCTGAGCACTGTGCAGGGTCCGACAGCGCAGTGTGGGTGGTGGGGACGGCAGTCTGCAGTCTTCCTGGGAGGCCGGAGATGCTCTGGCCACAGCCACAGCAGGGGGACGGGCTGGGTGACGTCCAGTGACGTTTGAGAAGCTTCTCAGAAGTGACGACGAAATCAAGTGCAGTTCAGTTTGCATCGAGCCGCAGGCTCCACCCTCGGGAGTCCTTGCTCAGCCTCGGACGGGATCTTCCCCGCATGGCGTATGGCGCGGGGCAGGTCCTGACCACCGGGCAGCTGACGGTCCAGCAGGAGGAACTTAGGCCTGCTCCCTGCTCCTCCCTGCACGCCTGGGCGCGGCCTGCTCTCTGCCACCTCTGGGCGCTGTCCCCGGCCTGTGTGAGCCTGGAGAGAGCGGCGGCTGCTGGCATCGGCCTGGTGGGGCCTCGGCGCAGCTCGCCTCCGGCTGCGGGTCCAGACCTGCTGGAGCTCTGAGCACCGCTCTTGGTTCTGTGTCGTGTCTGTGGCTGTCTTGTGCCTGTGAGGCTGACTCGAGACGATTGCTTAGGCCTGCAGCGCCCTAGTGTTTGAGGGGCGACCTGAGCACGCCTGGCACAGGACAAGACGGGCGCCAGGTGGCCCCAGTGCCGCTTTTTGCCTTCCCGTGCTGAGGTGCCAGGCAGCAGACACGGGCTCGCTGGTGGGCGCCCCATGTGCCGAGCGCGGTAGCGGTTAGGGTGATCTACATTTGCCACATCTCTGCTTTCCTTTCTCGTGGGCGTGTCTAAGGGATCCAAGGAAGACCTCGTTTCCCAAGGCCTTGGTCAGTGCCAGCGGCCTGTGCACACCTGCTCCAGGCCGGAGCTCAGCCGGCAGGTGCGCCCCCAGGGGCTCCGGCCAGGCCTCATAGATGCCAGGCCTCGGCCCGGGCTGTGGGTGCAGGCTCAGGCAGTTGGATTCTTCCCACCTTCTCCACCCCAGACCTGAAGGCCCCTCCTCACCAGCTCCCTCCAGCTCGGCACAAGTGTGTCTCCGGACCTGTGTTTCTGGTTATTCTCGTGGGGTCCAGTGTCCAGATCTTTCTTTGATTGTAAAATATATTTTTACTTTTCAGCCTTCTAATTTAATAAATGATCTATATAAAAATAGAGAATTAAAATCCTTCAGGGAAAGTTTACCATTTGTGTCCTGAGTATTTTTTTTTACTTTATTGTTGAATGTATTACAGGTGTACCCCCTTTACTTCCCCCATTGACCCCCCTCTTCCCCAATCCTGCCCCCCGTCTACCTTCCCCACACTGTTGTCTGTGGTCATTGGCTATGCAGATATGCGTAGAAGTTCTTTGGTTTATCTTTTCTCGCCCCCTCCCTTTGAGGTTCATCAGTCTTAACAACCAATTTGTACTTCTTGATCCCTTCATCTCCTTCACCCATCCCCCCAGCCGCCTCCCATCTGGCAACCAACAAAAATTCTCTGTGTGAGTCTGTTCTGTTCTGCCTGTTCATTTTGTTTGTAGATTCGATTGTTGATAGATATGTATTTATTGCCATTTTACTGTTGTTGTTGTTCTCCTTCAGGAAGTCCCTTCAACATTTCATATAATAACGGTTTGGTGGTGATTAACTCCTTTAGCTTTTTCTTGTCTGGGAAACTCTTTATATGTCCATCGACTCTAAATGACAGCTTTGCAGGATAGAGTAATCTTGGTTGTAGGTTCTTGCTTTTCATCACTGTGAATATTTCTTGCCACTCCCTTCTGGCCTGCAAAGTTTCTTTTGAGAAATCAGCTGACAGTCTTATGGGAGCTCCTTTGTAGGTAACTAACTGCTTTTCTCTTGATGCTTTTAGGATTCTCTCTTTGTCTTGAACCTTTTGCATTTTGATGATGGTGTGTATTGACATGGACCTCTTTGAGTTCTTCTTGTTTGGGACTTTTTGTGCTTTTGGACTTGTATGTCTGTTTCCTTCACCAAGTTAGGGAAGTTTTTGGTCATTATTTTTTCAAATAGGTTTTCAATTTCTTGCTCACTCTCTCCTTCTGGCACCCCCATGATGTGAATGTTGGCACGCTTGAAATTGTCCCAGAGGCTCCTTACACTATCCTCATTTTTTTTTTTCCATTCTTTCTTCTTTCTGCTGTTCTGATTGGGCATTTTTGGCTTTCTTATATTCCAAATCGATGGTTTGCTTCTTGGCTTTACCTACACTACTATTGATTCCCTGTAAATTATTCTTTATTTCAATTGGTGCATCCTTTATATCTGACTGGTCCTTTGTTATGTTGTTGAGGTCCTCACTAAGTTCCTTGAGCATCCTTGTAAGCAGTGTTTTGAACTCTGCATTTGACTGATTGCTTATCTCCATTTCATTTAGTTTTTTTCCTGGAGTTTTGTTCTATTCTTTCATTTGGGACATGTTTCTTTGTCTCCTCATTTTGGCTGCTTCCCTGTGACTGTTTCTATGTATTAGGTGGAGTTGCCATGTCTCCTGGGCTTCCTAGGGTGGCCTGTTGTGGTAGGTGTCCTGTAGGGTCCGGTGGCACAGCCTCCCTGGTCACTCCAGCTGGGCCTCAAGGTGCACCCCTCGTATGGACTGTACACCCTTCTGTTGTAATTGAGTCATGATTGCTGGTGGCACGTCAGTGGGAGGGATTTACTCAGGCTGATCAGCTGCGAGGACTGGCTGTGCCCACTGACCACTGGCCTCTGGGAGGATCCCTGGGAGGATCAGCTGCGCAGGGCCCGCCACACTGAGCAAGACTGACTTCAGCAGGGCTCTGGTACCCACTGAGTCCAGCACTTGAGTGTGTGGCTTGTGGAGGTGGTTGGGTGGTGGTGTTTCGACGTGGTCTGAAGCTGTCCACTGGGTGTGCCGGCTCTGGGGCCAGGTCAGCCACTGCCTGTGTTCCACCCGGGGCCACCAGGCATAAACTACAAAGTGATCTGCCAATAGCTGCTGCTTGTGCTGGGCTTGGAGGTGCTCAGGAAAAGCCAAGTTGTGAACCAAGGCTGGCTGCTTCTAGTGCTAGGCCTGGGGCCACTTAACGAGAGGTATGGGGCTCACTGAGACCAGATGCTGATTGTTTGAGAGATTTTAGGAAACTCTGAAGCAGGATCCAAGACAGGCCAATCCTATGGTAAAGCCTTTGGAAACAGCTTGGGTGGGCCCGAAAGTTGGCGGGCAGGGCTCAGGGAATCACCAGGGCGGGGCAAACAGTGTGAGCCAGGTTGCTGGAGTCCCAGATATGGGGCCCGTCTGCCACCCCAGGGAAGGGCTCACCAAAGGAACAGCAGCCTCCGCCAGCACGTCTGTCCAGGAGAAAGCTGCCTCTTCAGCCCTCGCCTGAGGCCAGACAGCTCAGTTCTCCCCTGTGTGTCTCTGGTGCCCCTCAAGCTGCCTCCCCTCCAAGCTTAGAGGGAGTGAGTCTGACAAGTCCGTGTGCGGGCCCTTTAAGGAGCTGCCTGGGGCTCCAGCCGCCTCAGCCTCCCTGAGCCTCAGTTCCTGCTGGGGATTCTCTTCCTGGCACTGGAACCCTGAGCGGGGCGCCTGGTGTGGGACAGGGACCCCTCAGTCCTCAGGGAGGACCTTCCCAGCCGAGGTGTCCTCCTGATTTTCATCAGCCTCACGTGGGTGTAGGACCAGCCCGTCCCCTCCGCCCTCCTACCAGTGTCCATGTGGCTGCTGCTGTAATGTTGTAGGACTGCCATCCAGCTCGAGGTCAGGCAGCGGTGATGACGGCTGTGCTGTGGCTGTGCTGTGTCTCAGCGGTCTCTCCGATGTGGCCTTGGGCTGGGCGATGTCTGCCTCCGCCCTCCTGACCGCAGTTGCCGAGTCTTCCCTGACGTAGCTCATGACGGCAGGGCTGGCGAAGGAGTCGGGACAGAGTCGCCGACAAAGTCACAGGGTTGTGTGGGCAGGTCGGGTCTGGTGGCTGGCGCAGAGCCTGACCCTGTGATGGTCAGGCCACGTGTGGGCTTTCGTTTTCTGATGGAGATGAGACGGGAGCCCCGGGCGCAGAGCCCTGTGCTGGCCTGGCCCGCGTGTCAGGTGCGCTGCTGGCTGCCCAGCACCTGTCCTGTCCCTCCTGCGCCAGGCCTGTCGCCCGCTCGGTCTGTCTGGTTCTCTGGGCACCACGGCCCCTTCCCG